CAGTGTAGAATAGATCACTCGAATAGAGGCCAGCCGTATAAGAGCGCAATCTAGTGTTAACCGGGTTTTTCAGACGGTCCTATTTGGTTTCAAGCTAATGAGCCACGGTTAGGCGTTACATGGTTTTTAGGCCCGGTTGCACCAACGCCGCATAACCCTCAGCTTAATTCGCTCCTTGTCTCTTCCTGGGGAAGCAGTCAGAAAGAGACGAAGAGTGAATTAAGCTAAAGTTACGCGACAATAAAAAGTGCACCGACACGAATGCGAATGCAAAAACCAAAAGCCATCCAAAGCCACAAAGCCGGGCATTCACGTATAGCCTGGCGACGCAGCTGTAGCTGCAATCTAGCGAGCACGTCTTAAAACTGGAAACACGAAGAAACATAAGTCCCAGCCCGGGTCTACAATAGGTGTAGTAAGCCTTAAGTCGTAAGAAATTGACCAATCACAGTCTGAAGTAAGGAAAATAATCGCTTGTGATTGATCAATCTTACGGCTTAAGGCTTACTACACCTATTGTAGACTCGGGCCCAGTCTACTATTGTAGTCATCTATTGATGATTTAAGCTCTAAGCTTTAAGAAATTGACCAATCACGGTCACGTATGAGTAGAATACGCGACTGTGATTAGTCAATTTTTAAGGCTTAGGGTTTAAATCTCCATTGTAGACTGGGACTAAGGCCCGAACACACGAGGTAACTTGAGCAGTAAAATCGAAGACTTCAGAGAAATGACCGATGACTATCGAGAACGTAAGCAGCCATTTTGAGACTTAAGCAATGCTGAAAATCCCGATTGGTTGAAATTCTTCAGTCTTAAGTCTCACTGCTTGGGTCTTTCCATGCGTTGCCAGCTTTAAGCAGGAAGACTTAGGCCTGGTCTACAATGCGTTGTTAATCGTTAGTCAGAAGTCGGAACTATATGTTGATCCTTTTCCTTTCTGGATGGATGAAAAAGGACCGACATATAGTTCTGACTTCTGACTAACGATTAACAACTCATTGTAGACCGGGCCTTAAGAATTTCAACCAATCGGAACTTTCAGCATTGCTCAAGTCTTAAGTTTTACCGTTTAAGTTTTTTTCCCCGCGTGTTCGGGCCTTAAAGCTCCGTCTGCGTCGCGTTGCACGTTGCCGACTACAGTGGAGTACTCGGCTTTAGGCATGGATTAAGACTGAATGAATAATACACAATAAATAATGAATAGAATCGTGCTCGCGCGGCTAGGACGGGCGAGAATCATCGGGGGAGCCGAGACCTTTCCGCGCCGGGTCACCCGGTAGTGTCGTGGCCGCGTGTCCCTGCGTGGCGCGTGGAATCGATCGGCATCCGCGCGTGGCCCACGATAACGAACGTTGCGAAACGCTGCGAGGGGGACGGCGGCGAGAGACAGTGCGGCGCGGAGTCACACCGCGCGGACGACGGGATGAACTCCTCCCCCCTGCCCCCCTCCCAGGTCGGGGTATTCGCAAAATTCCGATGTAACGTGCGGAATTTGCGACACTATCTCTGCACTTCTGTCGCGTGGTACTGGTATTGCACTCCCTTTCTGCGCTGGCCCTAAAAGAGCCTTCGACGTGGTTCAAGGAGAGTTCCGAGTTCTGACGATGAAGGGTGAAGAAACGGGGGATCTAAAGACACGAGGTGTTCTAAAGTCTGACCAACAATGTGCTCTTTGTGTCCGGAAACATTCTATTTTGTATAAGCAAGTCGAAATACTTGAAATATTGCCTGACAATACACGATTGTGTAATGTGCGATTTATCAACTTGCAAAAATTGAAATGTATTCGGCTACAAAGTGGAATGTTTCTAGACGCAAAGAGTATTGTATTGTAGATCAGGCTTTACGTCGCTCGTTTGTTATTGTTGGAACTTCTTTCCGCCCTAATCCGGAGCTTCTTCTTTTTCTCAATCGAGGCACTTCCTTTTCGAGCGATGCCTCATTCTGTCGAGACGCAGGATTCTCTTCGACCTTGAATTGAAATTATAGCCCGTTCCCGTAACGACAGGAATAAAGTGGACACACTCTGTAACTTTCGAATCTCCGTTTCTTTGCATCTCGTCGCTGGAAAGACTTTTTTTTGAAACGCGTCCAAAGTTCTGTGGGAAAGAACTTTATTATAGACAAGTAATATTATTCTAGCAGAACTGGCAGGCATTTATTGCAGAAAATAATCTCACCAAGTCGACCACTGGGACGCCCGCCTATTATAGAGTGGCTGAAGTAATATTTTTCGCAATAAATTCCTGCCAGTTCCGATCGAATAATATTACTTGTCCGTTATTTAACCACCGGCGGAGAAAATATCACTCGCGAACTTTATTATATTGAAAAACGGGGTGATGATCAGCTCTCCTTTCCGCGCCACCCTTAAAGAGCTCTAGGGGATGCTGGAGTGATTTTGCACTTTTTGCACCTTTAGCCCGATTAGTGTAGCGCTGTACACAAAAGCAACATAATTTGTATGTCACACGTTTTCACGAATTAACAGTTCTAGGAGCAAAAGATGCAAAAAGTGCAATCCTCAATCATTTATAAAGTGATATTTTTAAGTTCTCTTCTTCTTTTTATATAGAGTCGACTGTCCCTGGTTTTGTCTTTATGCGTATACTTTAATCGTGCGGAAGAATTTTGCAATTTTATAAAGCCAATTTCAAATTTAGTTAGACCTACGAATTGAAACTTTCAAATACCAATATCATTTTTATCAGACTTCTGAACAGTGTTTTAAGTATGAAAATGTTCTGCTACGCGGTCCGCAACTTATTCTGGTATTACTTTGTGCATAAAAGCTAATAAAAAGAATTACAAGCGCAAAAACTATATTTGACTGGATAGCTCGTTAGTTTCTCGTGTTTCTTGATCGGTTAGAAAATTTTATATTAATAAAATGAGTCATATAGACCGGGATGATGATGATTCTTTGGACGTAAGTGCTCCATATGAAGATGTGGATGAACCGTGATCAACCTTCGTGGACGTCGCAACATTCTCTTCTTTCATCGGCTGTGACTTTACGACTGCAATGTTCAAGTTCAAATCGCAAATTTCTTGCGACTTGCGACAATATGGACGTGCCAGCGATTGCTTGCAACTTAATGTACCATAGAACGACCTTCGAGCGTGGAAAAAACAGAAATATAAAAAACGTGGCATGTGTCTCCCTCATGTTTTTCATTGTTATCGAAAATTCTTTACCGAAGAGTAAACCGCTGAGTGATGTACAGATTCTCGGCATGACTGGACATTACTAGGTATTTTTTGGGCATTAGGCCTTGCTGGGGCATTGTAATGATAAAATAAGATAAGATCAAGTAATGCCCACTGGGCATTAGTGGGCATTGGTGTACAAGATTTTGGACAGCGGTATCCCTTCGTTCTTTCCGGAGCTTTCCCCAATCCCTCTTTTTTTTTCCCTTCGAGACGCTTCCACCCAAGAATCTCTTCCGTGCGACGTCTCATCTCCGCTGAGAGGTACAGAATCCTGATCGACCTTGACTCGAAATTACAACCCGTTTCTGTAACGACGAGAGCAAAAGCAGGCACTTTGTACTTTCGAATCCCCGTTTCTTTGTGCCTCACGTGTCTTTCTTGAAACGTGTCCAGAATTCTCTGGAGCGGCGCCAGAACTCTGTTATATCGAAAATTATATTGAATCATGTTTCAATTACACGAAAAACGGGGAGTGCCCGACTCCACGCGGCGAAGATTCGCGCCATCGCGCCGGCAATTAAGCCGCGCTCCCTGTTTCTTCCTACTTTTCTCGGCTGCGGATTTCCGCGAGGCCCTCGTTACTTGATCCACGCGAGAGCGGGAGAAACGCGAGTGGTCCGCGACCACGTGCGCTGTGGCGCCCGTCACGCGTCGCGCGAGGAAGATCACCCTCGCAAGAAACAGGACCTCAAGCTGGAAAATCCGGGCACATTGAGGGATCCCTCAGCCATCTTCTTTATCGACACAGTCAAATATAGTTTTATAGCAACGTATCTTTTATGCACATAATAACGTATCAACGTTATTTTGTGCATAAAAGCCAATAAAAAAAGTTACAAGCACAAAAAACCTACGTTTGACCGTGTCGGTAAAAAAGACGGCCGAGGAATCCTCTTAGGGCTGGTTTCTCTGCCTCTTCTCAGTAATAATAATAAAAAAAAGATAGGGTCGACTAACCTCTGGTTAACAGTTAACCAGAAAGTGAAAAACTGGGACGCATAAAACATTGGCCTGTACGAAACAGTCGTCCTAAAGCTAGCGCCACACTATGCGCGATTCGCGATTCGTATATTCGCGAACAGTGTGGAGGAAAAATTAGTCGATTCGCCGTGCGCAGACTCGCTAGCCGAGCAGTTTGTTGACGAAAATAGTGATTTTTTGACTATATTGAAATGTGACTAATTGTAGACATCTGATGCAAATCCCGTAATAGAGTAAAGGTTAAAAGTTGTCCAAATTAACACGAATGAACATGAATGAACGAATGACAAATAACTAGACGTGTGACATTTTGATGTGATCTTTATCGCAAAATGCCCCAGGTACGTTTTCAATGTAATTTCTTAACATTTTGGAGCCTCCAACTTCGTTTTACACGTTTTTAAAACGCAAAATGACCCTCAATACGCAAAATGGCGTATTGATCCAAATAACGTCAAACATCGCAATTTTCCTTAGTAAACGTTTCTAACGTCAATGTTGTATCACTTGTATCGGAGAAAAAGTTGAAAATTGTTCAAAATCAACTCCGCTGCCGCGGCGCTGGATGCCATCTTCGTCGCTAGTTACTTTTTTGTATGTGTTCATGCTATTTTAATATGTTATGTTTTATGTTACATTTTTTAACACATATTTAGTAATAAATGCCATAAATTGTTCTATCAAAGCATTAAGTCGTCTTATCGAAGCCCTGCCCACTCCTGACCACGGCGTTATCAAAAACACTGTCAACGTAACGCAAAATCCGGAAAAGCAAAACGCAAAAATGCCAAAAAATAACATGAAAATGTCACACCTCTACAAAAAAACACATTACGAATGATAAACTGCGAATCGCGCATAGTGTGGCGCTAGCTTAAAGCTTTTCGCGCAGAAATGGCGAGGCCAGCGATCGCCGGCGATCGTTCTCCAAGGCAGGAGATTTAAAGAGACAAGAAGAGGAGGCGGGAACACATGTCCGAAGGCGGGGACCACCTGAAAATCTCTTGGCGCGGCTGAAGACAATTCTAGAAATATTCTTAGAGCGAAGCACGTGGCCTCGCGCCGTAAACTCGCGCGCCTCAGGACTTCTTAGATCTCGCGAATCTCATTCACGTGCCTATCTACCGGAAGTCGATTTAACCCTTTCACGAGTCCCACTTACATCTCTTATCTCTTCAATCTCTCTCTTAGGATACCGAGTGTCTCCATTAAAAATAAAAACAATAAAAAACAATTTGGTCGCGAAAAAGGGTTAACGGGACGCGCTCGATTCCACTCGCAAATGTGTGTCGCAGGAGCCGGTGGCCGGAAGTTCCTGCGAAAACCGACGGACCGAGACGGGCCGAGAAATAAAGAATCGGGCGCTTGGCCTGGAACGCGCGCCTGAGAGCGCGCAGGTTTAAAATAGACCGAGGTAAACGTGCGGCAGGTAAATATGCAAAATAGCCCAAGGTAAAAAGCACCGCGCGGTGTCACTGTCGTGCTCTGCTCTCCTCCCGCGCGCTCCGACATCCCGTCCCGCGGATGGACGCGCGAGTCACTCACGCGGGGGACCCCCCGCGTTCCTCGCGGGTAAACGCGAACAGAACGCGGAACCCGGGGGGGGGAAGAAAAAAAAATCAATGGGGCCACTCTCCGCGTGCTCACTTCCCGGCTCGGTCTCCCCCGCGCTCGCCGACCTCGCGCGGTGCGCGATCGACGAGGACGCGAGTTCCCTCGGCGACGGACTCGGCCGCGGAGTCGCCGCGCGCCGATCCACCCCGATCCGCGTATGTGTACGGCGAGTGTGTACGTACCTCCGGTCAGCACCAGCTTGTACACGCGTTTCTGATCCATCGCCGTCGGCGGTTCGACACTTCCGTCTCCGACCGTCGGAATCGTTCCACTCCTCTGCTCCTTTCCTCACCTTCTCGCTCGCTGGCGGCGACGACGACGACGACGAGTCTTCCTCGATGAATGCCGGGGTGGACGCGCTTCCTCCCTTCCGACGTGACGACGGAAGACGCCGAGGGTGGCGAGTGTGCGACGCTCGGAGGCGGCGGTGGTCGGTACTACATAAATACCTGGTGGCGCATCTCGGGTCGGCGCGTGCTCGACCGCGTGCTCGGACGACGCATTTGGAGCGAGGGGGGGGGAGGGGAGATGGGGGGAGGAGGAGGAGGAGGAAACGACGACGAAACGAGAGCGAGACACGGGCCTCGCGAGAGGCGCGAGCCACTCCGGCGATCGACTCGAATATTCGCGGGGACCTTCCTCNCACCGCGGGACGACCGTCCCTTTTTCNGGAGCGCGCGGGGGCCGAGGGGAGAGGAAAAACACGGCACCGCACAGGACCCTCAAGCTCTTCGGC